ATTATTTATCATCATATTTATAGCTTAATCTCCAACCGATCAATCGTTACGTGAATTCGACTCGAACTTATGGGATGTGGCGCCATGAGAAACCAAAATTGTACAGATAAATTTTTGGAATTCCATTGTTTGTCCGCTTTCGAAGGCAATCGTCAAAACAACTCGAGCACCGAATGGCGCTTGAAAATTCTACAGATCCCAACGATGATAAGTTTGGCTCAGGTTGTCTCATCGGTTTAAAGAAACAATCATTTTGGTAAGTACAATTGCATTTTTGTGCAAATACAAAGAAATCAACTAACTGATGAGCACTGCAGAAGGATGAAAACGTTGGAAGAATTTGGAAATAAACATTTATATTATTCAACTTCAAAATATATCTATATACAAACAAATGATGAATCACTGAACAAAACAAATCTTCTAAACTGAACGATTAAATTGCAGAAAATAAAAATAAAAATGAAAAAACAGTGATTTTAAGTAATATCAATGAACGATATCCAAGAGTATTACAATTAAATGATCAACAGAAACAATTCCGAATAATATATAAAACAAACACGCCGACAATATTAAACAACTTTGAATCCATCTCAATTACCAACATCATTCTACTGATAACTCCTTATCCATCAACATGAACAAACCAAGCAATAATTGCACTGAATTCAGCTCCAAAATTTCAAACAACATCAAAAAATATACAAAAATGTGCACATCACAATCCAGTCTTATTTTTTGTCCTATCATCAAAACAGTCAACGCTGCTGCATCTTTATTCGTTCAATCAAAAACGCTCTGACAGGAACGAAAGAACTGCGATCCATTATAATGGCATCATTTTTTAAAGCAATCACGGATTAACAGCAGTAAAGTAGCAGTGATCAGCAATGAAAATACAAGCAAAACAAAAAGTCCGTTGCCGAGACTGTGCAAAGCGTCCGAGAATATTTCATGCTTGAACTGCAGCAATTTCTTAACCCTTTCATTCACCCGTTAAAGATCTTAAAGTGTGCAACCCAAGCACAACGCGCAATACACTTTTTCTTTCAATCAAGCACTGACTAGGTGTTGAATAGAGCCACATTTTAATGGATAAATTACGTCATAGTCAAAAGAATAAATGATATGGCGTTGAGAAACAAAGATAACAACTGCTATTTAAAGAAATAGAATTTTAAAGTGAACAACGAAAGCAAACGAGTCATGATAGGGAATTGGAACATCGGAAAGTTATCTGGGAAAGACGTCCGTAACAAACAAGGTAACATCGCGCAACACTGATAAAATTTTAATCGATTACACTTCAATAAATCACTATGATTCTAACGGAAAAGGTTACATGCAACGTATCGCAATGAATACGAATTCGACCTAAAAGCAACCATTCCCAATGTAATACGGATCTACTGATACAAATCACCTCATACACCCAGCGAAAAACAACCCAACCTATGGACATATATATTTCAATTGATTACATCAAGTTCAGATCGCACAGTTCAATCACCATCAGCGTGTGACGTATCGTCTCGATCAGAACGCTTGCCTCCTAATGTCTTCTAATCTGGCTTTCATTCAAGCAGTCCGATATCCCAGGACGACGGTTCAAGATACGTTAGTGTGTGCGCCTGCTGCAGTTGGCGTATTGTGCCAGTGCTGTAATTAAGAATGATCAAGTTCGAGTTTAAAATCACTCGAATCCGCTGTCAAATCCGTCATAATGAATTCATACGGAATGAGGAAAAACCGGCTTAACTAAAAAGTATTTGTACACAACTTTTTGCTCCCTTCGCTCATTTCAAAATGCTGATTTTAGATTCTTGTTAAAAGACAACACTCAAGCTGCCGAATATATCCACACATCATTATTAAATATTGCTGAACAAGAACGTATGAAACTGAAAATTTGCAAAGGATTGCACATCAGAAAACCCGAATAACACCGTTAAAAAACGCACCGCGGTTGTGACAAGTGAGGTCGCACTCTGCATGGAGAATCGATGCTTATTATTGAATCGCTGCTGAACACTTAATGTGCTTGAGCAAGAAGCGAGATTATTTTCGGGCGATTGTTCACTACGTGTATAAATCATCACATAGCCTTGACGTTTTCGGACCTCATCCACTGACACTCGTTGACACTGAACATAAACGAATGTCAAGTACAGAACAACCAAAGTGTCTTTCATTACAACACAATCCATCAGAAAGAGCACTTCACTCTGGATCATACAAATCAAAATTACTTCACTACAATAGATAAAATAATAAAACGTTAGATGATAAATGGGCTACGAAAAAATAAAACAATTTGGAAGTTTTGTGGAGGGTAAGGAATCAGTTACGACAAGTAAAACGCTGAAGATGAAATCTAACCGATTCATCATCGAAACAATGCCACCCCTTCCCATCGAATCCTCGCACAAATGCTATATAATGGCCACGATCAATGCCATCACCTTGATGTTCGATCAGCGAACACAACGAATACGAATTACGATCGTCTATTTGATACATAAATCGATCCAATTTTATATTCATCTTAAAACTTTTGCCTTCATTAGTAAATCAGTACTAAAGTATGCCGTTCTACTCGCAATCACAATCAAACTTCCATAAGGCACAACAAAAGAAAAAAGCACGCGATTCAAAAAGACACAACGAAAATAAAGCAAACCTCAACGGTAATCGGCAGTCGTATTTTACAACCGATGGCATTGAACCTTTTCAACTGCACAATAAGAACGTGTGGCGCACGAATCATGCGTGTTACTCGTTGTGCTTGTGTTTTTCGTTTGCACCTGTAACCGAGTCAACATAAATACAACGAAACATCACATTCAAGAAGAAATCACGATGCATTCATTAACTATCGGAGTCTTTGCTTTCAAAGTGATCTCTCAAAGCTAGATTTTAACAGTGGGAAGAAGAAAAACCAACTTTTTGCAATCAAAAGAATTCAGCGTTTCATTGCTGAAGTAGTCAGCAAAGAGATCATTCAGACTAATAATTCCCTCTCGTTTACGCATCCTCAGTCCAAGATTCAGCTCTCGAATTCGCTCATAATTGATATAATTTTCACCGCAAGCAAAACAGCGAATCTCGTTCCGTAATGCACCACCGAACATTTGTTCCATCGGAGTTGATGGACGCAGTTCCCTTCAATGTAATGAATCTATAGCATTACATCAAATGCAACATGGAATATGATTTACCTTTTAATGACTGCATTTGATCGTCATAGATCATATATTGGGAATATATTCTCAAAACGCATATCGGGGGTTCTTTCACAATTCTAGTGCTATAAACTCGAAATCACTGTCAATGATACAAATCGAAACATTCACAATCTAGAACACAAAATCCATTACCGGTAAGAAGGTAGATGAAATTTATAAGTTTGATGGCATACAAATACTCAGGGCAACAGACAGCTGAGAAAAGAAATAAAACAATACTGAAAACAATCATATATTCGAACCTAAACTGATTTGGTGTGGTTGAGGATGTTCCGTTGGTCTGCTTTAAGCTTGCAGGAGGAGCTGGGTCAAGCGCATCAAGAATTAACGATAGCAGTTCGTGCGCATCCTCTTGATATCCAGGTTTATGACTTGGAAATATCTCTGAAAATTTTCAATTAAACCATCAAATCAGACGCGACTTTGATCACATGAAAACATTTCTCATATATACTTCTCACAATGAGCTTCGTTAGCAGATTAGTCTCAATAAAATAGACAGAATTACTTCTCAGATAAGGCTGTATCCATTGCGCTTTAAAAGGTCCTGAGCTTGCTATCGCCCGCCGAACATGCTCGCCCAACGCACAAGCAAAGCAACTATTCGAATCTGAAACTTAGTGAATCAAATTATCATACCACCAAAATACGTCTAATCACAAAAGTAAACTGGAAAATTCCTTAAAACGAAAAACCGTGGAATATCCACTTTATAATTCGTCCGATATAAAAATATTACTAATTGAGTTTAATCACTGCTGGAAAAGAGAAATAAACCAATATTAATAATAATAACTCCTACAACGAATCGTATTTTTCAAATGACTGAACACGAATGAAACGAAGTATAAGATTGAGTGACTAGCAATAAACATAAGATGTGATAACCGAATGCACTCACAGCTGCCACACGAATGCAACTCAGCAACGTAACGGGCTAGTGGTGCCGTATGAACCATAGCTTGTAAAACAGCATTGAGAAAACAGTCGTTTGAAGAATTGAACAACCCAACGCCGGAATTACGATTATTCGATTGCTGAAACTTTTAAACGAAATGTGCGCACGTTACAGTTATGCAACGTTTCGAAACGTGACTACTCCCGTCTCAAATATTCACAATCCTATAGAATTGACATTCGATACTTAAAATACGGCACTTCTAAAAATAAACTATAACAAGGATTTGCAATATTCAAGTTAATCCGTAATATATCGACTAAACTAGATGAAGTCATTCTCACTTCTTCTCTATCCATCTCTGCACTTTCACTGTTTGGAATGATATAAATGAAACTGAAGTGAGCAATCACACAAAAACACGCACCAGAAGTCGGCTACCACGCCATGAATTGAATAAAGTCTTCCGATCAATCACTGGATATTTGGCCTCTGCTTCACCACGTTCTGATAGCACTCGTTTTCGCGTTACCTTCGACGAACCATTTTTCATGGTTTCCTTAAAATCATCCCTTTTTAAGTCTACATCATGTTAATTTCTGTCGAGATGGTATTTAAGGATTGCAATACATTTTAAACATTACTGCGACACTAAATCAGTGGAACAGAAATGAGGAATCTGAAATTCTCGTTACCCGAAACCGAATGAATTTCCAAAATGAATAACCTTCGGTGTTGTACCATTTTGTTTAACAGCATCAATCAGCGTTCCGGATGACGATGTTTTCACGGGTCCAATGATTGATACCTTGGAGGTAGATGCTTTCGCTGAATCAATCACATATCCGTTGGCAGATGAAGGTGATTGCAATTGAGAATCACCATTGAAGTTCACATTGAATGACATTGATCCATCCAACCTGTAATATCTTCATCAGAGCTCACAATAAACTAAGTCTCATAGATTTCAAATTCGAATTCAAACAATCATCAAATACATAAGCAGTGAACAGATTCAATGAAAAAATAAATGAATCAAAACCTATTCGAAGATGCTGAATTCTTAGTGATGATTCCGTTTGTAGAAGTTCGATTCGTTGGTTTTGTATTATTCACAGATCGTGTCCCACTCAGTGCATTAGTTGCCAATAACGCGGATCGAGGTAATAAATTTTTTATAATCATTTTTGTACCATTAACGGGATTTGAAGTCTTCGTTGAAATATTCGATGTGTTATCAGTATTATTANTATTATTACCGCTCGTGCAACTGCCTTCAGGTAAACCATTTTTACGGATTGTTGATTGCTGTGGTGTCGAATAAATTTCATTCTTATCACCTAATGCCATACATTTATGCTGTTGCGTTCCAGCAGGGCTATTCAACGGTTCGTTGTTTGCGTTCAGTAGACATCGAGAAGACGTAATGGAGCTGTTGGGTGTAAAATAACGTGAAGAGTCTGACGAAACATTTCGCTCCAAAGTAGCAGGTTTCCAACCGCTGAAACTGTTTCTGCTTGCACATTCAGTCATCAGTCGAAAATCATTCTTGAGATACCGTGGAGTTGTGGAATTGAATTTTGAGAGAATATTTCCTATTTTGAATTGAATACTGTCTTCGTAAGTTGAGAGCCTATTTTGTAGATCAAATTCATCGGAAGTGTTTGAAATATAATCACAATAAATACGGAGGTTACACTACTTCAGAGGCGATATATTAAAGTATATTTCTCATAAGAAGCGCAAGGAATCAATTGATGATGGAAGCAACAAATAACATCAACTCAAACAGAAATGAAAAATAAAGCTTAAATTAGAACGTCAAACTCACTTGGGTGTTGGGCTGGGAGAATGAGTCGACGAGGACGTATCACTGTCTGCATAAGCGGACTGAATCAATTTCAGACCATTCGAAAGTGGACTGCAAATGACTCTTTCTTCCACTGAACGACGACAATTACTCGTACCACCTAAAAACAAAATCGAAAATAATCTCAAAAAATATGTCGTTTAACTGTTTTATAAGAATTGAAGTATCGAACTTGAAAAAACGAGATTTGAAGTTCGCAGTTCACGATTTAATATCAGTAATTTCGAACTAAGACGGATAGAATGGATAAGTGGATAAATGAGAATACTGATATGGACGATAGAAGAACAACTGACCATTAACTTTAATGGTCGATACAGGGGCAGTTTCGGGATGAGATCCATTTGATGAGCTAGTTTCTCCGATCAACGCCACCTTACATCGCTTCCAATCATTATCTCGCAACGTCTCGTCCTCATAGAGTGCACTGAAATTAATTCAAAACGCATTCCAGTAGCGATCATGTAACTGAATTATACGACTGAACATGTGATGAGTTTTCCGCTTATACGGAAAATTTGTCAAAGTATGCATTTTCAACATCGCTTTGAAATACACCAATTGATGACTCAATTAAAAACATTCAACTTCGGGAGCATCGAGCATCATTCACACGTTCAAGGTGATCAGCTCTCAACAACAACCCAACCAAGATAACTTTATACAAATCATTCCATATATTAGTGATGGCATCCGACCGAAGTTCGGTCGGAAAAATCCGACAAATTTCGGTCGAAATTCCGATATCCGGATTCCGATCGATCAACTTTGAAGTTCGGTCGGAATTCCGAATTTTGGAACATTAAAATCTGAATTCGCTCGGAATCCAACCAAAGAATTCCTAAAGTTGGTCGAAACTCTGAATGTCGGAATTT